CTGTGCTTACAGGTGGTAAACCAGCAATTCTGGTCGTGATGCATCACACCTTCAACCCTGACCAAGTTCTACCTGAAAGCAGAAGACTGGTGGACAACCCCAATGTTAAGCTTACTGTGGACTGTCTGTTCTATGAGGACAAACTCCTGGAGTCCAACCGAAATTATACTGCATGGATTGATGTCCAGAAGTATCTTGGAGTTTCCAAGGTAATGACTAGATTTACTGATCTTATACTATCACACAATCCCTGGGGAGTGCACTGATATTGTGATATTAAGGGATAAGGGATCATTACTGTAGTCCACCACTGAAATTATGTACATGATGCAGTTTCATTAATTATTTTATATTCTTTGTTTCTTTGTTTCTTTCTTTGTTTCTTTCTTTCTTTGTTTCTTTGTTTCTTTCTTTAGCAGCCTACCTTGGTAGCCAAATTTATGAATTACATCAGAAGGAAGTTTGACATCAATCATGAACTTCAGATTTCAGGTCAGATTTTTTCTAGTCTATCTTCTTCACTTTCCTTTGAATTAAGGGATATTGATGTTGGCATTATTAATCTAATAATACCAATCATTTCTGGTTGCTGTAATGACTCCTCCTGTCAGTACTGGATTTTAATGTAAGTGATGGGGAACAACATAATTTAATCAGAATATAAAGCTAGGGTAATGACCAAAGTTACTTCACAACCTCAGTAATTGTGCTTAAGAGATATTCAGCAACAGCCTGTCTGCAACAGAGTTAGTGCTTCATGATTGATTCTCTGGCTTTTGTACACACACAGTAGCTTTTAACCAGGAAATAACAAAGTCTGTGCTTTGAAGATTTGTTCATTTTTATATTGGACACTTCCACTGACACAAAAACTTATGCAATCAGCATTTTTTAAGTTGATCATCATTTTAAAATAATCATATGGAAATTCAACACATAGTGACTTTGAGTTGAACTTATGTATGCAAATAGTGAAGTTCGGGGTTGTGTAACATACTTTCTACAATTTGTGCTGAATCTAGCCCAAGATCTTTTCTGGCAATATTTCCTTTTATCTGGGTCTGATGGTGTAACTCCCCTTAATTTATGTTACAGTGCAGTAATGACTCAAATATTCCTCTCTGTCTTTAGTGCCCCAGAAAAAGTTCTTTGTCATCTTGGTGGGAAAAACTAATGATGCTCATCTTGAGTTTGTGGCAAAGATTGAAAGCATTGGTCATACTGAGGTGAACTCTCCAGAAGAAAGTGACTACCTTCTAGTTTTCTGTCCTGTTGCTTCAAGAGTTGGAACAGACGTCAGCGAGGCCCTGGAAAACCTTCCAGGTAGGAAATGGCTTCATTTCACACTGATTAGTTAAAGGAATACAGGAAAATTTTATCAATCAGTTGAAAAGTTTTTAATTTTGGTGTGAAAAAAACTTACTATAGTGTTTTTTTGTACAGGTTCTAATTGGACTTGCAGTGTCTCTATTTTTAGCAATTCCCTAAAATGAATAAAGTTCAAAGAACTGCCAATGTAGAGTCTCATTGCGAAGTTCTTTGAACTTCAATAATTTCAGTCTAAAATTACTCTGTTATAAATGCAGGACCTGATGTCCATGTTTGATGGCAAATTCTTTATTAAAATGTATTTCCATATAAAGAGTGTTCACGGGTCTGTGGATTATGTAATATTATCGAGACACTGTGTCTGGAAACAGATGACTGCTGATTTGTAGTTTATACCCTCTAAAGGTTCATAGACTCTTTCAGATTGTAGTTTTGTAGTTTTTTTTACGGTCTGCGTCTTTCCTGACAAAGCCATCGTTCTGTATCTGCTGTGTGAATAGGCAGTTGTTTGCTAACATGTTCTCCACATCAACTTTAAAGCTTTCGAGTATTTCAAATCAGTGAATACTGCTTTAAATGACTCACTTACTTAATATTTACAATTTTGTTATGCCATTGTTAAAATACTATGGCAAAAAAACTATAACAATAATGCACTTTAATGTGAAAATATGTAATGAGTGCCACAGCTCAGACAGTAAAAATCAAACAGATCTCCCCTCTTATGTTTTATCTTGTTTCACTCATTTTGGTTGTATTATCTCTGTGTTTACAGGTGGTAAACCAGCAATTCTGGTCGTGATGCATCACACCTTCAACCCTGACCAAGTTCTAGCTGAAAGCAGAAGACTGGTGAACAACCCCAATGTTAAGCTTACTGTGGACTGTCTGTTCTATGAGGACAAACTCCTGACGTCCAACCGAAATTATACTGCATGGATTGATGTCCAGAAGTATCTTGGAGTTTCCAAGGTAATGACTAGATTTACTGATCTAATACTATCACACAATCCCTGGGGAGTGCACTGGTATTGTGATATTAAACGATAAGGGATCATTACTGTAGTCCACCACTGAAATCATGTTCATGATGCAGTTTCATTTATTATTTTATGTTCTTTCTTTCTTTCTTTCTTTCTTTCTTTCTTACTTTAGATCTCTGTCTTGGTAGCTGAATTCATTAATTACTTCAAAATGAAGCTTGACAGCAATCATCAACTTCAGATTTCAGGTCAGAGTTTTTTAAGTTTATCTTCTTCACTTTCCTTTGAATTAAGGGTTATTGATGTTGGTAATATTAATCTAATCATACCAATAATTTCTGTGTGCTGTAATGGCTCCTCCTGCCAATAATGGATTTTAATGTAAGTGATGGGGAACAAAATAATTGAATGAGAATAGAAAGCTAGGGTAATGACCAAAGTTACTTCACAACCTCAGTAATTGTGCTTTTGAGATATTCAGCAACAGCCTGTCTGCAACAGAGTTAGTGCATCATGATTGATTCTCTGTCTTTTGTGCACACACAGTAGCTTTTAACCAGGGAATAACAAAGTCTGTGCTTTGAAGATTTGTTCATTTTTATATTGGACACCTCCACTGACACAAAAATGTATGCAATCAGCAATTTTTAAGTTGATCATTATTTTAAAATTATCAAATGAAAATTCAACACATAGTGATTTACAGTTGAACTAATGTATGAAAGTAGTGACATTCTGGGCTGTGTAACATACTTTCTACACTTTGTGCTGAATCTAGCAGAAGATGTTTTTTGGGCAATATTTCCTTTTATCTAGATCTGATGGTGTAGCTACACTAAACTATGTTACAGTGCAGTAATGACTCAAATATTCCTCTCTGTCTTTAGTGTCCCAGAAAAAGTTCTTTGTCATCTTGGCGGGAAAAACTGATAATGCTCATCTTGAGTTTGTGGCAAAGCTTGAAAGCATTGGCCATACTGAGGTGAACTCTCCAGAAGAAAGTGACTACCTTCTGGTTTTCTGTCCTGTTGCTTCAAGAGTTGAAAGGGACGTCAGCGAGGCCCTGGAAAACCTTCCAGGTAGGAAGTGGCTTCATTTCACACTGATTAGTTAAAGGAATACAGGAAAATTTAATCCATCAGTTGAAAAGTTTTTAATTTTGATTTGAATTCAACTTACCATAGTGTTTGCTTTTGTACAGGTTCTAATTGTACTTGCAGTGTCTCTGTTTTTAGCAGTTCCCTAAAATTAAACTGTTATAAATGCAGGACTTGGCGTCCATATTTGATGACACATTTTTTCATCAAATACATTTTCCATGTATTGAGTGTTCACAGGTCTGTGGATTATGCACTATCATTGAGTCATATGGATCTCTTCTCTCAAGTTTCCTCTCCTTTACTCATTTGGTTGTATTATCTCTGTGCTTACAGGCGGTAAACCAGCAATTCTGGTCGTGATGCATCACACCTTCAACCCTGACCAAGTTCTAGCTGAAAGCAGAAGACTGGTGAACAACACCAATGTTAAGGTTACTGTGGACTGTCTGTTCTATGAGGGCAAACTCCTGACGTCCAACCGAAATGATACTGCATGGCATGATGTCCAGAAGTATCTTGGAGTTTCCAAGGTAATGACTAGATTTACTGATCTAATACTATCACACAATCCCTGGGGAGTGCACTGGTATTGTGATATTAAGGGATAAGGGATCATTACTGTAGTCCACCACTGAAATTATGTACATGATGCAGTTTCATTAATTTTTTTATGTTCTTTCTTTTTTTTAGGTCTCCACCTTTCAAACCATGTTCAATAGTAAGTGTGACAGCAATCATGAATTCCACATTTCAGATCAGATTTTTTCTAGTCTATCTTCTTCACTTTCCTTTGAATTAAGGGGTATTGATGTTGGCATTATTAATCTAATAATACCAATAATTTCTGGTTGCTGTAATCGCTCCTCCTGTCAATACTAGAGTTTAATGTAAGTGATGGGGAACAAAATAATTTAATCAGAATATAAAGCTAGGGTAATGACCAAAGTAACTTCACAACCTCAGTAATTGTGCTTTTGAGATATTCAGCAACAGCCTGTCTGCAACAGAGTTAGTGCATCATGATTGATTCTCTGGCTTTTGTGTACACACAGTAGCTTTTAACCAGGAAATAACAAAGTCTGTGCTTTGAAGATTTGTTCATTTTTATATTGGACACCTCCACTGACACAAAAACTTATGCAATCAGCATTTTTTAAGTTGATCATCAATTTAAAATTATCAAAAGAAAATTCAACACATAGTGATTTACAGTTGAACTAATGTATGAAAGTAGTGACGTTCTGGGCTGTGTAACATACTTCCTACAATTTGAGCTGAATTTAGCACAAGCTCTTTTTTGGGCAATATTTCCTTTTATCTGGGTCTGATGGTGTAGCTACACTAAACTATGTTACAGTGCAGTAATGACTCAAATTTTTCTCTATGTCTTTAGTGTCCCAGAAAAAGTTCTTTGTCATCTTGGTGGGAAAAACTGATGATGCTCATCTTGAGTTTGTGGCAAAGCTTGAAAGCATTGGTCATACTGAGTTGAACAATCCAGAAGAAAGTGACTACCTTCTGGTTTTCTGTCCTGTTGCTTCAAGAGTTGAAAGGGACGTCAGCGAGGCCCTGGAAGACCTTCCAGGTAGGAAATGGCTTCATTTCACACTGATTAGTCAAAGGAATACGGGGAAATTTAATCCATCAGTTGAAAAGTTCCTCATTTTGGTATGAAAAAAACTTAATCTTTGTTTTTATACAGGTTCTAATTGGACTTGCAGTGTCTCTATTTTTAGCTGTTCCCTCAAATGAATAAAGTTCAAAGAACTGCCTGTGTGGGATCTCATTGGCAGTTCTTTGAACTTCATCAATTTCAGTTTAAAATTGCACTGTTATAAATGCAGGACCTGATGTCCATGTTTGATGATACATTTATTATCAAATACATTTTCCTTATAAAGAGTGTTTACATATCTTTGATTTATGCACTATTATTGAGACAAATGGATCTTTCCTCTTAAGTTTCATCTTCTTTCACTCATTTGATTGTGTTATCTCTGTGTTTACAGGTGGTAAACCAGCAATTCTGGTTGTGATGCATCACACTTTCAATGCTGACCAAGTTCTAGCTGAAAGCAGAAGACTGGTGGACAACCCCAATGTTGAGCTTACTGTGGACTGTCTGTTCTATGAGGGCAAACTTCTGACGTCCAACCGAAATGATACTGCATGGCGTGATGTCCAGAAGTATCTTGGAGTTTCCAAGGTAATGACTAGATTTACTGATCTAATACTATCACACAATCGCTGGGTACATGATGCAGTTTCATTTATTATTTTGTATTCTTTCTTTCTTTCTTTCTTTCTTTCTTTCTTTCTTTCTTTCTTTCTTTCTTCAGGAGTCTACCTTGAAAACCTGGCTAGCCAAATCCATGAATTACATCAAAAGTAAGCATGACAGCAGTCATGAACATCAGATTTCAGGTCAGATTTTTTCTAGTCTGTCTCCTTCACTTTCATTTTAATTAAGGGATATTGATGTTGGTATTATTTCTGGTTGCTGTAATGGCTCCTCCTGCCAGTACTGGATTTTAATGTAAGTGATGGGGAACAAAATAATTTCATGAAAACATAAAGCAAGGGTAATGACCAAAGTTACTTCACAACCTCAGTAATTGTGCTTTTGAGATATTCAGCAACAGCCTGTCTGCAACAGAGTTAGTGCTTCATGATTGATTCTCTGGCTTTTGTGTACACACAGTAGATTTTAACCAGGAAATGACAAAGTCTGTGCTTTGAAGATTTGTTTGTTTTTATATTGGACACCTCCACTGACACAAAAATGTATGCAATCAGCATTTTTTAAGTTGATCATGCTGTTAAAATAATCATATGAAAATTCAACACACAGTGATTTTAAGTTGAACTAATGTATGAAAGTAGTACATTTCTGAGTTGTGTAACATACCTTCTACAATTTGTGCTGAATCTAGTCCAAGATCTATTTTTGGGCAATATTTCCTTTTATCTGGGTCTGATGGTGTAGCTACACTAAACTATGTTACAGTGCAGTAATAACTCAAATATTCCTCTCTGTCTTTAGTGTCCCAGAAAAAGTTCTTTGTCTTCTTGGTGGGAAAAACTAATGATGCTCATCTTGAGTTTGTGGCAAAGCTTGAAAGCATTGGTCATACTGAGGTGAACTCTCTAGAAGAAAGTGACTACCTTCTGGTTTTCTGTCCTGCTGCTTTAAATGTTGGAACAGACGTCAGCGAGGCCCTGAAAACCTTCCAGGTAGGAAATGGCTTCATTTCACACTGATTAGTTAAAGGAATACAGGAAAATTTGATCAATCAGTTAAAAAGTTTCTCATTTTGGTATGAAACAAACTAACCATAATGTTTGTTTTTGTACAGGTTCTAATTGGACTTGCAGTGTTTCTATTTTTAGAAGCTCCCTTAAATTAAACTGTTGTTAATGCAGGACTTGGTGTCCATGTTTGATGATACATTTATTATCAAATACATTTTCCTTATAAAGAGTGTTTACATGTCTTTGATTTATGCACTATTATTGAGACAAATGGATCTTTCCTCTTAAGTTTCATCTTCTTTCACTCATTTGGTTGTGTTATCTCTGTGCTTACAGGTGGTAAACCAACAATTCTGGTCATGATGCATCACACCTTAAACCCTGATCAAGTTATAGCTGACAGCAGAAGACTGGTGAACGTTAATGTTAAACTGACTGTGGACTGTCTGTTCTATAAGGACAAACTCCTGACGTCCAACCGAAATGATACTGCATGGTTTGATGTCCAGAAGCATCTTGGAGTTTCCAAGGTAAAGTTCTTTGTCATCTTGGCGGGAAAAACTAATGATGCTCATCTGGAGTTTGTGGCAAAGCTTAAAAGCATTGGCCAAACTGAGGTGAACTCTCCGGAAGAAAGTGACTACCTTCTGGTTTTCTGTCCTGTCGCTTCAAGAGTTGGAAGGGATGTCAGCGAGGCCCTGGAGAAACTTCCAGGTAGGAAATGGCTTGGAAGTGCTAAAATATAAAATATAAATGCAGAACATGGCGTCCATGTTTGATGAGTAATTCTTTATCAAAAATATTTTCCATATACAAAGACATTGCTCTGTATCTGCTGTTTGAATAGGCAGTTGTTTGCTAACAAGTTCTCCACATCAATTTTAAAGTTTTAAAATAATTCAATTCATTTTAAGCCCATGTTAAAATCCTGTGAAAAAAACCTTTAATAATAATGCACTTTAATACGACAATATGTAATGATTGCCACAGCTCAGCCAATAAAAACCAAACGGATCTCCCCTCTTATGTTTCACTCATCTGGTTGTATTATCTCTGTGCTTACAGGTGATAAACCAGCAATTCTGGTCGTGATGCATCACACCTTCAATCCTGACCAAGTTCTAGCTGAAAGCAGAAGACTGGTGAACAACCCCAATGTTAAGGTTACTGTGGACTGTCTGTTCTATGAGGACAAACTCCTGATGTCCAACCGAAATTATACTACATGGATTGATGTCCAGAAGTATCTTGGAGTTTCCAAGGTAATGACTAGATTTACTGATCTAATACTATCACACAATCCCTGGTGAGTGCACTGATATTGTGATATTGAGGGATAAGGGATCATTACTGTAGTCCACCACTGAAATTATGTTCATGATGCAGTTTCATTAATTATTTTTTATTCTTTCTTTTCTTTAATTATTTAGGTCTCCACCTTTCCAGGCATATTCAATAGTAAGTGTGAGAGCTTTCATGAACTTCACATTTCAGATCAGATTTTTTCTAGCCTATCTTCTTCACTTTCTTTTGAATTAAGGGATAATGATGTTTGTATTATTAATCTAATAATTATTAATCTAATAATACCATCATTTTTGGTCCCTGTAATGGCTCCTCCTGTCAGTACTGGGTTTTAATGTAAGAACAAACTTAATAAGTATAAAGCTAGCTCAATGACCAAAGTTACTCCACAACTCCAGTAATTGTGCTTTTGAGATAGAAGCTTTGTGCTATGTACTGTTTAAATGTGTTGTAGAGTCGTGTATGGTATAAAATGAACAAGTTTTAAATCAAGTCAAAACATCACTGTAAAATAAGGATTGTTGCTACTTTGTTCTTATTCAGACATCAGGATTGTATGTGTTTCCGTCATGGGGGAAAACAATATAAATTAGCAGAACAGCCTGTCTGCAACAGAGTTAGTTCTTCATGATTGATTCTCTGGCTTTTGTGCACACACAGTAGCTTTAAACCAGTGAATAACAAAGTCTCTGCTTTGAAGATTTGTTCATTTATACACACAAAAACAAGACAAAAACGTATGCATCCAATACAATGCATCGTTTAACGTCCAGAAGTCTTGATGATTGATGTAATACAATCATACAATCTATGTGGAGTGCACTGATATTGTGATATTAATGGATAAGGAATCATTACTGTAGTCCACCTCTGAAATGACCATTATTACGCATTATTGTTACTCATATTCTCTTAATTCTGTCTTTCTTTCAGGTGTCTCTTTTCCAAGTCTTCCCAGATTCTTTAAGCACTAGTAACTGTGACTGCAATCAATGAACTTTCGATTTCAGATCAAATGTTCTTTCCTTTGAATTAAGGGATATTGATGTTGGTATTATTCATCTTATATGTAAACAAAATAATTTCAGTTATTTCAATTGTAAATTATACCAAGTGACTAGTTTATCAGTAATTTTTCCAGACTAAGCATAGGTAAACAGGACAACAAGCTCAACAAAATAGACATAAACTACTATGTACAGTTATCTATCTATCTATCTATCTATCTATCTATCTATCTATCTATCTATCTATCTATCTATCTATCTATCTATCTATAAACCAATAAATAATTAACATTTGAGAGTGCAAAGGATGCTGAAATAAATAATTACATGCAGGTTTCTTTATGTACATTAGGTAGGTGGATATTACAGTATATATACTGTGTGCACATTGTGGGTAAATGTGTTTGAATGATTCTATTTCTGTTTTAAAAAAGTGAATTTCAACAATGTATTTGCTCCTCCTGCCAATACTGGGTTTTAAGTGATGGGAACAAACTCAAATAATGAGAGTGTAAAGCCAGGGTAACGACCAGAGTTACTTCACAACTCCAGTAATTGTGCTTTAGAGATACACGCTTTGTGGTATGTACTGTTTAAAGGTGTAGTAGTGTCACGTGTGGTAAAATATCATCATGTTTTAAATGAAGAGAAAACATCACTGTAAAATAATGATTGCTGCTACTTTGTACTCATTCAGACATCAGGACTGTATGTGTTTCCTTCATGAAGAATAAACACAAATTTAACAAGTGATGACATCGTATTTGTGTGTTGTGTCTTTGTAAATTAGTAGCCTCGCTGTAGGACTATCCCCGACCAAAGATTTTTCTTGTCGACTCATGGTTGTTGGTTAAAGCCAATTGTGTTGTTTATGAAATTGTTTAATCATTTAAATATATATATTTTAACAGTCGCCTGTTAAACAGCCAGCACGGAGACTGAACATTCAGTTCATTTATTTCACAGAATAATAACATTACATTAGTCTCATTGTCTGCTCACCCGACTCTGGCTATAGTGCTCATTCCAGCCCTTGTGTTAACAACCACCCCTGGTACTTAGAGCTCGCAGTCCCGTACAGTCAGCTATACTAACTAGTTAGTGGCAGCAGCTCATTAGCACTTAGCACATGCAGCAGTGCTGTGTTACAAGAGAAAAGGTCCGTGTTGCAACAATCCCCTGACACTTTCATCCTAACTACATGGCACAGCTCCGTTTGTTTTCCTGCAAATATCCGACTCATGAAATCTTGTTGACTAAGACTCTTCTCTTCTACTAACAGTTTACTCGACTATTAGGGGACAGCCCTACATAGCTGATAAACAAATCTGATGGATTCCTATTAAAACTGAGGTAAAGGTCAATACCACCCCTACTGCGAAGAGCAATGGTGGCACAATGATGGTATCTAAATGCAACCAACGACAAAGAATGGGAGTCAAGTCAGGATTGAAAGGCCGGTAAATGAAATCAAATCAAGAAGTAATCTTTAAAAATACTGCTGCAGAATGACAACACAACTTACTTACAACTTGGGAAGGACTTGTCACGGTAGCCAGCACTGTGTGTTACGTCTTCTGGTCAAGCAGCTGTAACAGTCCTGTCTGACTGTGCCAGGACTGGAAGCTCTCAGTGAGAAACACATCCAGACTGGGGCTGAATATAGCATCCGATGGTGACAGTTTCACAACAGGGAATAAAGTGCAGAGGTATTATTATTAGTGCTTAGACTCCCTCCATCCTACGTGTGAGGGGACTCTAACATAGTAAACTACTTCTGTAATATAAAAACAACCTAAAGTAATCCCAGTGCCCGTGTATACCATCAGCTCTGTGTTGTAGCCTATATGAGGTCTGCAGTTACTCCCTCCTCCTACTGTGGTCTTTTCTCATCTGTTCCTAAACACTGACACAGTTAATGTCTCATCTCTGCACGTCCTCTAGTGGTCAACTCGAGAACAGCTTCCTTGTTAAAGCAAAAGTGAAAGTGCTGCACCGACAGGGAGGAACAACAAATACTTTGACATACCAGAGACATCAGAAATAAATTATTAATCCATTACGTAAGTAGGCAAGAACAAAATGTTTTGAATAAGGAATCTTTGTGAGGCTGTGAACTGCTCACTCTTTATGTACATCTGAGTATTATAGGTTATACACATCTAATGTATTTTAAACTTTGTTTTGTGGGCTGGGCACAGCAGCTGTGACAAAGGAATCTGTGACGCATATAGGCCTGCTGCTTATTTAGTTTTATTTCATTTTGTTAAATGATGTTGACTAAAGTTTCCTGTCTGTTTATGTATCTCTTCCTCAGAGACATGGCCCAGAAAGCAGAAACTGGTGAGAAAACAAATGTACTTCTTTGGTAAATTGACAACATGGATCAGCTGACAACATGTAAAGTGAAAGAGGTTGCTTGTAGTGATCAAACTACAGAGAATCATCAACAGTTTCTATGTCTTTCAGCTCTTTGTTTTGGTTTTCTGGTCATAAACTTTCACATTAGTTTTCATTGGAGTTGTTTTCAGGGAAAAAGCTCTGATAAATCCCATGTGCGTTACCTGCCCAGCAGCAGAGAGATTAGCAGAACAGTTAGGATCTTCAGGAGAATTTGAAACTAATATAGATCTGAATTCTGTTTGTTTCCCACATTATGAGAAAGTTATGAGAGGTGAATAAGTTGAGCACAATTTAACGTATGTAAATGTTTAAGATGAAGAAAGCCAGTACAATAAATCCTACGGCCAGCAAGGAGCCACAATAACTGTGTAATAAAGTGAGAGGCGGCTGAAGAAGAAGCATTTAGCAACAGCCTGTCTGCAACAGAGTTAATACTTCATGCTTGATTCTCTTGTTTTTTATTTTTTGTGCACATACAGAATCTTTTAACCATGTAATATTACTCTATGCTTTGAAGATTTGCTCATTTTTATATTGGACACCTCCACTGACACAAACATAATAAAAACATCAGTCATTTTTAAGCTGATCATCAGGTATTTATGAAGGTAGTAAGGTTCAGAGATGTTTGAAACACCTTCTTTAATTTGTGCTGAATCTAGTACAAGATCTTTTTTTGGGCAATATTTCCTTTTATCTGGGTCTGATGGTGTAGCTACACTAAACTATGTTACAGTGCAGTAATGACTCAAATATTCTTCTCTGTCTTTAGTGTCCCACAAAAGGTTCTTTGTCATCTTGGCGGGAAAAACTGATGATGCTCATCTAGAGTTTGTGGCAAAGCTTGAAAGCATTGGTCATACTGAGGTGAACTCTCCAGAAGAAAGTGACTACCTTCTGGTTTTCTGTCCTTCAAGAGTTGGAACGGACATCAGCGAGGCCCTGGAGAAACTTCCAGGTAGGAATGGGTTTCATTTCACACTGATTAGTTAAAGGAATACAGGGAAATTTGATCAATCATATGTAAAGTTCCTCATTTTGGTATGAAAAATAAGAATGTTTGTTTTTGTACAGGTTCTAGTTGGATTTGCAGTGTCTCTATTTTTAACAGTTCCCTAAAATGAATAAAGTTCAATTTCAATCTAAAATTCATGAATGCAGGACTTGGCATAAATGTTTAAAGGACTCATTTTTTATCAAATACATTTTCCCTATAAAAGAATGTTCACAGGTCTGTGGATTATGTACCATTATTGAGACAAACTTGTCTTGCCTTCTTTCACTCATCTGGTTGTGTTATCTCTGTGCTTACAGGTGGTAAACCAGCAATTCTGGTTGTGATGCATCACACCTTCAACCCTAAAAAAGTTCTACCTGAAAGCAGAAGACTGGTGAACAACCCCAATGTTGAGGTTACTGTGGACTGTCTGTTCTATGAGGGCAAACTCCTGAAGTCCAACCGAAATGATATTGCATGGATTGATGTCCAGAAGTATCTTGGAGTTTCCAAGGTAATGACTAAATTTACTGATCTAATACTATCACACAATCCCTGGGGAGTGCACTGATATTGTGATATTAAGGGATAAGGGATCATTACTGTAGTCCACCACTGAAATTATGTACATAATTCAGTTTCAATAATTATTTTATATTCTTTCTTTCTTTCTTTCTTTCTTTCTTTCTTTCTTTCTTTCTTTCTTTCTTTCTTTCTTTCTTTCTTCCTGTGTTTTTTTTAGGTCTCTATCTTGGTAGCTGAATTCAAGAATTTCCTCAGTAGCAACCTTGACTTCATTCATGAACTTCAGATTTTAGGTCAGTTATTTTCTAGTCTATCTTCTTCACTTTCCTTTGAATTAAGAGATATTGATGTTAGTATTATTAAACTAAAAATACCAATCATTTATGGTTGCTGTAATGGCTCCTCCTGTCAAGACTGGATTTTAATGTAAATGATGGTGAACAGAATAATTTAATGAGAATATAAAGCTAGGGTAATGACCAAAGTTACTTCACAACCTCAGTAATTGTGCTTTTGAGACATTCAGCAACAGCCTGTCTGCAACAGAGTTAGTGCATCATGATTGATTCTCTGGCTTTTGTGTACACACAGTAGCTTTTAACCAGGAAATAACAAAGTCTGTGCTTTGAATATTTGTTCATTTTTATATTGGACACCTCCACTGACACAAAAACTTATGCAATCAGCATTTTTTAAGTTGATCATTACTTTAAAATTATCAAATGAAAATTCAACACATAGTGATTTACAGTTGAACTAATGTATGAAAGTACTGAAGTTCGGGGTTGTGTAACATACTTCCTACACTTTGTGCTGAATCTAGCCCAAGATCTTTTTTGGGCAATATTTCCTTTTATCTGGGTCTGATGGTGTAGCTACACTAAACTATGTTACAGTGCAGTAATGACTCAAATATTCTTCTCTGTCTTTAGTGTCCCGGAAAAAGTTCTTTGTCATCTTGGCGGGAAAAACTGATGATGCTCATCTTGAGTTTGTGGCAAAGCTTGAAAGCATTGGCCATACTGAGGTGAACTCCCCAGAAGAAAGTGACTACCTTCTGGTTTTCTGTCATGTTGCTTCAAGAGTTGGAACAGACGTCAGCGAGGCCCTGGAGAAACTTCCAGGTAGGAATGGGTTTCATTTCACACTGATTAGTTAAAGGTATACAGGGAAATTTGATCAATCATATGTAAAGTTCCTCATTTTGGTATGAAAAATAAGAATGTTTTTTTTTTAACAGTTCCCTAAAATGAATAAAGTTCAATTTCCGTCTAAAATTCATAAATGCAGGACTTGGCATAAATGTTTAAAGGAAATGTTCAAATACATTTTCCCTATAAAATAATGTTCACAGGTCTGTGGATTATGTACCATTATTGAGACAAACTTGTCTTGCCTTCTTTCACTCATCTGGTTGTATTATCTCTGTGCTTACAGGTGGTAAACCAGCAATTCTGGTCGTGATGCATCACACCTTCAACCCTGACCAAGTTCTAGCTGAAAGCAGAAGACTGGTGAACGTTAATGTCCGCACAGGGCTACCTGGTTGATCCTGCCAGTAGCATATGCTTGTCTCAAAGATTAAGCCATGCAAGTCTAAGTATTTTCCTCAATGTCTTTAGTGTCCCAGAAAAAGTTCTTTGTCATCTTGGCGGGAAAAACTGATGATGCTCATCTTGAGTTTGTGGCAAAGCTTGAAAGCATTGGCCATACTGAGGTGAACTCTCCAGAAGAAAGTGACTACCTTCTGGTTTTCTGTCCTGTAATTTTTATATTGGAGACCTCCACTGACACAAAAACTTATGCAATCAGCATTTTTTAAGTTGATCATTATTTTAAAATTATCAAATGAAAATTCAACACATAGTGATTTACAGTTGAACTAATGTATGACAGTAGTGACGTTCTGGGCTGTGTAACATACTTTCTACACTTTGTGCTGAATCTAGCACAAGATGTTTTTTGGGCAATATTTCCTTTTATCTGGGTCTGATGGTGTAGCTACACTAAACTATGTTACAGTGCAGTAATGACTCAAATTTTCCTCAATGTCTTTAGTGTCCCAGAAAAAGTTCTTTGTCATCTTGGCGGGAAAAACTGATGATGCTCATCTTGAGTTTGTGGCAAAGCTTGAAAGCATTGGCCATACTGAGGTGAACTCTCCAGAAGAAAGTGACTACCTTCTGGTTTTCTGTCCTGTTGCTTCAAGAGTTGAAAGGGACGTCAGCGAGGCCCTGGAAAACCTTCCAGGTAGGAAATGGCTTCATTTCACACTGATTAGTTAAAGGAATACAGGAAAATTTAATCCATCAGTTGAAAAGTTTTTCATTTTGATTTGAATTCAACTTACCATAGTGTTTGCTTTTGTACAGGTTCTAATTGGACTTGAGGTGCATCTGTTTTTAGCAGTTCCCTAAAATTAAACTGTTGTAAATGCAGGACTTGGCGTCCATGTTTGATGAAACATTTTTTTCATCAAATACATTTTCCATGTATTGAGTGTTCACAGGTCTGTGGATTATGCACTATCATTGAGTCATATGGATCTCTTCTCTCAAGTTTCCTCTCCTTTACTCATCTGGTTGTGTTATCTCTGTGCTTACAGGTGATAAACCAGCAATTCTGGTCGTGATGCATCACACCTTCAACCCTGACCAAGTTCTAGCTGAAAGCAGAAGACTAGTGGACAACCCCAATGTTGAGCTTACTGTGGACTGTCTGTTCTATGAGGGCAAACTCCTGAAGTCCAACAGAAATGATACTGCATGGTTTGATGTCCAGAAGTATCTTGGAGTTTCCAAGGTAATGACTAGATTTACTGATCTAATACTATCACACAAATCCCGGGGGAGTGCACTGGTATTGTGATAAAAAGGGGTAAGGGATCATTACTGTAGTCCACCACTGATGCATCATGCAGTTTCATTAATTATTTTATGTTCTTACTTTCTTTCTTTCTTTCTTTAGGTCTCCACTTTTCGAACCATGTTCAATAGTAAGTGTGACATCAATCATGAACTTCAGATTTCAGGTCAGAGTTTTTCTAGTCTATCTTCTTCACTTTCCTTTGAATTAAGGGATATTGATGTTGGTATTATTAATCTTATAATACCAATCATTTCTCGTTGCTGTAATCACTTCTCCTGTCAATGCTAGATTTTAATGTAAGTGATGGGGAACAAAATAATTTAATGAGAATATAAAGCTAGGGTAATGACCAAAGTAACTTCACAACCTCAGTAATTGTGCTTTTGAGACATTCAGCAACAGCCTGTCTGCAACAGAGTTAGTACTTCATGATTGATTATCTGGCTTTTGTGTACACACATTAGCTTTTAACCAGGAAATAACAAAGTCTGTGCTTTGAAGATTTGTTCATTTTTATATTGGACACCTCCACTGACACAAAAACTTATGCAATCAGCATTTTTTAAGTTGATCATTATTTTAAAATTATCAAATGAAAATTCAACACATAGTGAATTACAGTTGAACTAATGTATGAAAGTTCTGAAGTTCGGGGTTGTGTAACAAACCAATTTGTGCTGAATCTAGCACAAGATGTTTTTTGGGCAATATTTCCTTTTATCTGGGTCTGATGGTGTAGCTACACTAAACTATGTTACAGTGCCGTAATGACTCCAATATTCCTCAATGTCTTTAGTGTCCCAGAAAAAGTTCTTTGTCTTCTTGGCGGGAAAAACTGATGATGCTCATCTTGAGTTTGTGGCAAACCTTAAAAGCATTGGTCATACTGAGGTGAACTCTCCAGAAGAAAGTGACTACCTTCTGGTTTTCTGTCCTGTTGCTTCAAGAGTTGAAAGGGACGTCAACGAGGCCCTGGAAGACCTTCCAGGTAGGAAATGGCTTTATTTCACAATGATTAGTTAAAGGAATATGGGGAAATTTGATCCATCAGTTGAAAAGTTTTTAATTTTGATTTGAATTCAATTTACCATAGTGTTTGCTTTTGTACAGGTTCTAATTGGACTTGCAGTGTCTCTATTTTTAGCAGTTCCCTAAAATTAAACTGTTATAAATGCAGGACTTGGCGTCCATGTTTGATGACACATTTTTTTCATCAAATACATTTTCCATGTAATGAGTGTTCACAGGTCTGTGGATTATGCACTATCATTGAGTCATATGGATCTCTTCTCTCAAGTTTTCTCTCCTTTACTCATCTGGTTGTATTATCTCTGTGCTTACAGGTGGTAAACCAGCAATTCTGGTCGTGATGCATCACACCTTCAACCCTGACCAAGTTCTAGCTGAAAGCAGAAGACTGGTGAACAACCCCAATGTTGAGCTTACTGTGGACTGTCTGTTCTATGAGGGCAAACTCCTGACGTCCAACAGAAATGATACTGCATGGCGTGATGTCCAAAAGTATCTTGGAGTTTCCAAGGTAATGACTAGATTTACCGATCTAATACTATCACAAAATCCCTGGGGAGTGCACTGGTATTGTGATATTAAGGGTTAAGGGATCATTACTGTAGTCCACCACTGAAATTATGTACATGATGCAGTTTCTTAAATTATTTTATGTTCTTACTTTCTTTCTTTCTTTCTTTCTTTCTTTTTTTAGGTCTCCACCTTTCAAACCATGTTCAATAGTAAGTGTGACAGCAATCATGAATTCCACATTTCAGATCAGATTTTTTCTAGTCTATCTTCTTCACTTTCCTTTGAATTAAGGGATATTGATGTTGGCATTATTAATCTAATCATACCAATAATTTCTGGTTGCTGTAATCGCTCCTCCTGTCAATACTAGATTTTAATGTAAGTGATGGGGAACAAAATAATTTAATCAGAATATAAAGCTAGGGTAATGACCAAAGTAACTTCACAACCTCAGTAATTGTGCTTTTGAGACATTCAGCAACAGCCTGTCTGCAACAGAGTTAGTACTTCATGATTGATTCTCTGGCTTTTGTGTACACACATTAGCTTTTAACCAGGAAATAACAAAGTCTGTGCTTTGAAGATGTGTTAATTTTTATATTGGAGACCTCCACTGACACAAAAACTTATGCAATCAGCATTTTTTAAGTTGATCATTATTTTAAAATTATCAAATGAAAATTCAACACATAGTGAATTACAGTTGAACTAATGTATGAAAGTTCTGAAGTTCGGGGTTGTGTAACAAACCAATTTGTGCTGAATCTAGCACAAGATCTTTTTTGGGCAATATTTCCTTTTATCTGGGTCTGATGGTGTAGCTACACTAAACTATGTTACAGTGCAGTAATGACTCAAATATTCCTCTCTGTCTTTAGTGTCCCGGAAAAAGTTCTTTGTCATCTTGGCGGGAAAAACTGATGATGCTCATCTTGAGTTTGTGGCAAAGCTTGAAAGCATTGGCCATACTGAGGTGAACTCCCCAGAAGAAAGTGACTACCTTCTGGTTTTCTGTCATGTTGCTTCAAGAGTTGGAACAGACGTCAGCGAGGCCCTGGAGAAACTTCCAGGTAGGAATGGGTTTCATTTCACACTGATTAGTTAAAGGTATACAGGGCAATTTGATCAATCATATGTAAAGTTCCTCATTTTGGTATGAAAAATAAGAATGTTTTTTTTTTAACAGTTCCCTAAAATGAATAAAGTTCAATTTCCGTCTAAAATTCATAAATGCAGGACTTGGCATAAATGTTTAAAGGAAATGTTCAAATACATTTTCCCTATAAAATAATGTTCACAGGTCTGTGGATTATGTACCATTATTGAGACAAACTTGTCTTGCCTTCTTTCACTCATCTGGTTGTATTATCTCTGTGCTTACAGGTGGTAAACCAGCAATTCTGGTCGTGATGCATCACACCTTCAACCCTGACCAAGTTCTAGCTGAAAGCAGAAGACTGGTGAACGTTAATGTCCGCACAGGGCTACCTGGTTGATCCTGCCAGTAGCATATGCTTGTCTCAAAGATTAAGCCATGCAAGTCTAAGTATTTTCCTCAATGTCTTTAGTGTCCCAGAAAAAGTTCTTTGTCATCTTGGCGGGAAAAACTGATGATGCTCATCTTGAGTTTGTGGCAAAGCTTGAAAGCATTGGCCATACTGAGGTGAACTCTCCAGAAGAAAGTGACTACCTTCTGGTTTTCTGTCCTGTAATTTTTATATTGGAGACCTCCACTGACACAAAAACTTATGCAATCAGCATTTTTTAAGTTGATCATTATTTTAAAATTATCAAATGAAAATTCAACACATAGTGATTTACAGTTGAACTAATGTATGACAGTAGTGACGTTCTGGGCTGTGTAACATACTTTCTACACTTTGTGCTGAATCTAGCACAAGATGTTTTTTGGGCAATATTTCCTTTTATCTGGGTCTGATGGTGTAGCTACACTAAACTATGTTACAGTGCAGTAATGACTCAAATTTTCCTCAATGTCTTTAGTGTCCCAGAAAAAGTTCTTTGTCATCTTGGCGGGAAAAACTGATGATGCTCATCTTGAGTTTGTGGCAAAGCTTGAAAGCATTGGCCATACTGAGGTGAACTCTCCAGAAGAAAGTGACTACCTTCTGGTTTTCTGTCCTGTTGCTTCAAGAGTTGAAAGGGACGTCAGCGAGGCCCTGGAAAACCTTCCAGGTAGGAAATGGCTTCATTTCACACTGATTAGTTAAAGGAATACAGGAAAATTTAATCCATCAGTTGAAAAGTTTTTCATTTTGATTTGAATTCAACTTACCATAGTGTTTGCTTTTGTACAGGTTCTAATTGGACTTGAGGTGCATCTGTTTTTAGCAGTTCCCTAAAATTAAACTGTTGTAAATGCAGGACTTGGCGTCCATGTTTGATGAAACATTTTTTTCATCAAATACATTTTCCATGTATTGAGTGTTCACAGGTCTGTGGATTATGCACTATCATTGAGTCATATGGATCTCTTCTCTCAAGTTTCCTCTCCTTTACTCATCTGGTTGTGTTATCTCTGTGCTTACAGGTGATAAACCAGCAATTCTGGTCGTGATGCATCACACCTTCAACCCTGACCAAGTTCTAGCTGAAAGCAGAAGACTAGTGGACAACCCCAATGTTGAGCTTACTGTGGACTGTCTGTTCTATGAGGGCAAACTCCTGAAGTCCAACAGAAATGATACTGCATGGTTTGATGTCCAGAAGTATCTTGGAGTTTCCAAGGTAATGACTAGATTTACTGATCTAATACTATCACACAAATCCCGGGGAGTGCACTGGTATTGTGATAAAAAGGGGTAAGGGATCATTACTGTAGTCCACCACTGATGCATCATGCAGTTTCATTAATTATTTTATGTTCTTACTTTCTTTCTTTCTTTCTTTAGGTCTCCACTTTTCGAACCATGTTCAATAGTAAGTGTGACATCAATCATGAACTTCAGATTTCAGGTCAGAGTTTTTCTAGTCTATCTTCTTCACTTTCCTTTGAATTAAGGGATATTGATGTTGGTATTATTAATCTTATAATACCAATCATTTCTCGTTGCTGTAATCACTTCTCCTGTCAATGCTAGATTTTAATGTAAGTGATGGGGAACAAAATAATTTAATGAGAATATAAAGCTAGGGTAATGACCAAAGTAACTTCACAACCTCAGTAATTGTGCTTTTGAGACATTCAGCAACAGCCTGTCTGCAACAGAGTTAGTACTTCATGATTGATTATCTGGCTTTTGTGTACACACATTAGCTTTTAACCAGGAAATAACAAAGTCTGTGCTTTGAAGATTTGTTCATTTTTATATTGGACACCTCCACTGACACAAAAACTTATGCAATCAGCATTTTTTAAGTTGATCATTATTTTAAAATTATCAAATGAAAATTCAACACATAGTGAATTACAGTTGAACTAATGTATGAAAGTTCTGAAGTTCGGGGTTGTGTAACAAACCAATTTGTGCTGAATCTAGCACAAGATGTTTTTTGGGCAATATTTCCTTTTATCTGGGTCTGATGGTGTAGCTACACTAAACTATGTTACAGTGCCGTAATGACTCCAATATTCCTCTCTGTCTTTAGTGTCCCAGAAAAAGTTCTTTGTCTTCTTGGCGGGAAAAACTGATGATGCTCATCTTGAGTTTGTGGCAAACCTTAAAAGCATTGGTCATACTGAGGTGAACTCTCCAGAAGAAAGTGACTACCTTCTGGTTTTCTGTCCTGTTGCTTCAAGAGTTGAAAGGGACGTCAACGAGGCCCTGGAAGACCTTCCAGGTAGGAAATGGCTTTATTTCACACTGATTAGTTAAAGGAATATGGGGAAATTTGATCCATCAGTTGAAAAGTTTTTAATTTTGATTTGAATTCAATTTACCATAGTATTTGCTTTTGTACAGGTTCTAATTGGACTTGCAGTGTCTCTATTTTTAGCAGTTCCCTAAAATTAAACTGTTATAAATGCAGGACTTGGCGTCCATGTTTGATGACACATTTTTTTCATCAAATACATTTTCCATGTAATGAGTGTTCACAGGTCTGTGGATTATGCACTATCATTGAGTCATATGGATCTCTTCTCTCAAGTTTTCTCTCCTTTACTCATCTGGTTGTATTATCTCTGTGCTTACAGGTGGTAAACCAGCAATTCTGGTCGTGATGCATCACACCTTCAACCCTGACCAAGTTCTAGCTGAAAGCAGAAGACTGGTGAACAACCCCAATGTTGAGCTTACTGTGGACTGTCTGTTCTATGAGGGCAAACTCCTGACGTCCAACAGAAATGATACTGCATGGCGTGATGTCCAAAAGTATCTTGGAGTTTCCAAGGTAATGACTAGATTTACCGATCTAATACTATCACAAAATCCCTGGGGAGTGCACTGGTATTGTGATATTAAGGGTTAAGGGATCATTACTGTAGTCCACCACTGAAATTATGTACATGATGCAGTTTCTTAAATTATTTTATGTTCTTACTTTCTTTCTTTCTTTCTTTCTTTCTTTTTTTGGTCTCCACCTTTCAAACCATGTTCAATAGTAAGTGTGACAGCAATCATGAATTCCACATTTCAGATCAGATTTTTTCTAGTCTATCTTCTTCACTTTCCTTTGAATTAAGGGATATTGATGTTGGCATTATTAATCTAATCATACCAATAATTTCTGGTTGCTGTAATCGCTCCTCCTGTCAATACTAGATTTTAATGTAAGTGATGGGGAACAAAATAATTTAATCAGAATATAAAGCTAGGGTAATGACCAAAGTAACTTCACAACCTCAGTAATTGTGCTTTTGAGACATTCAGCAACAGCCTGTCTGCAACAGAGTTAGTACTTCATGATTGATTCTCTGGCTTTTGTGTACACACATTAGATTTTAACCAGGAAATAACAAAGTCTGTGCTTTGAAGATTTGTTAATTTTTATATTGGAGACCTCCACTGACACAAAAACTTATGCAATCAGCATTTTTTAAGTTGATCATTATTTTAAAATTATCAAATGAAAATTCAACACATAGTGAATTACAGTTGAACTAATGTATGAAAGTTCTGAAGTTCGGGGTTGTGTAACAAACCAATTTGTGCTGAATCTAGCACAAGATGTTTTTTGGGCAATATTTCCTTTTATCTAGATCTGATGGTGTAGCTACACTAAACTATGTTACAGTGCAGTAATGACTCAAATTTTCCTCAATGTCTTTAGTGTCCCAGAAAAAGTTCTTTGTCATCTTGGCGGGAAAAACTAATGATGCTCATCTTGAGTTTGTGGCAAAGCTTGAAAGCATTGGCCATACTGAGGTGAACTCTCCAGAAGAAAGTGACTACCTTCTGGTTTTCTGTCCTGTTGCTTCAAGAGTTGAAAGGGACGTGAGCGAGGCCCTGGAAAACCTTCCAGGTAGGAAATGGCTTTATTTCACAATGATTAGTTAAAGGAATACAGGAAAATTTAATCCATCAGTTGAAAAGTTTTTCATTTTGATTTGAATTCAACTTACCATAGTGTTTGCTTTTGTACAGGTTCTAATTGGACTTGAGGTGCATCTGTTTTTAGCAATTCCCTAAAATTAAACTGTTGTAAATGCAGGACTTGGCGTCCATGTTTGATGACACATTTTTTTCATCAAATACATTTTCCATGTATTGAGTGTTCACAGGTCTGTGGATTATGCACTATCATTGAGTCATATGGATCTCTTCTCTCAAGTTTCCTCTCCTTTACTCATCTGGTTGTGTTATCTCTGTGCTTACAGGTGATAAACCAGCAATTCTGGTCGTGATGCATCACACCTTCAGTCCTGACCAAGTTCTAGCTGAAAGCAGAAGACTAGTGGACAACCCCAATGTTGAGCTTACAGTGGACTGTCTGTTCTATAAGGGCAAACTCCTGAAGTCCAACAGAAATGATACTGCATGGTTTGATGTCCAGAAGTATCTTGGAGTTTCCAAGGTAATGACTAGATTTACTGATCTAATACTATCACACAAATCCCGGGGAGTGCACTGGTATTGTGATAAAAGGGGTAAGGGATCATTACTGTAGTCCACCACTGATGCATCATGCAGTTTCATTAATTATTTTATGTTCTTACTTTCTTTCTTTCTTTCTTTAGGTCTCCACTTTTCGAACCATGTTCAATAGTAAGTGTGACATCAATCATGAACTTCAGATTTCAGGTCAGAGTTTTTCTAGTCTATCTTCTTCACTTTCCTTTGAATTAAGGGATATTGATGTTGGTATTATTAATCTTATAATACCAATCATTTCTCGTTGCTGTAATCACTTCTCCTGTCAATGCTAGATTTTAATGTAAGTGATGGGGAACAAAATAATTTAATCAGAATATAAAGCTAGGGTAATGACCAAAGTAACTTCACAACCTCAGTAATTGTGCTTTTGAGACATTCAGCAACAGCCTGTCTGCAACAGAGTTAGTACTTCATGATTGATTCTCTGGCTTTTGTGTACACACATTAGCTTTTAACCAGGAAATAACAAAGTCTGTGCTTTGAAGATTTGTTAATTTTTATATTGGAGACCTCCACTGACACAAAAACTTATGCAATCAGCATTTTTTAAGTTGATCATTATTTTAAAATTATCAAATGAAAATTCAACACATAGTGAATTACAGTTGAACTAATGTATGAAAGTTCTGAAGTTCGGGGTTGTGTAACAAACCAATTTGTGCTGAATCTAGCACAAGATGTTTTTTGGGCAATATTTCCTTTTATCTGGGTCTGATGGTGTAGCTACACTAAACTATGTTACAGTGCAGTAATGACTCAAATATTCCTCTCTGTCTTTAGTGTCCCAGAAAAAGTTCTTTGTCTTCTTGGCGGGAAAAACTGATGATGCTCATCTTGAGTTTGTGGCAAACCTTAAAAGCATTGGTCATACTGAGGTGAACTCTCCAGAAGAAAGTGACTACCTTCTGGTTTTCTGTCCTGTTGCTTCAAGAGTTGAAAGGGACGTCAGCGAGGCCCTGGAAGACCTTCCAGGTAGGAAATGGCTTCATTTCACACTGATTAGTTAAAGGAATACAGGGAAATTTGATCCATCAGTTGAAAAGTTTTTAATTTTGATTTGAATTCAATTTACCATAGTGTTTGCTTTTGTACAGGTTCTAATTGGACTTGCAGTGTCTCTATTTTTAGCAGTTCCCTAAAATTAAACTGTTATAAATGCAGGACTTGGCGTCCATGTTTGATGACACATTTTTTTCATCAAATACATTCTCCATGTAATGAGTGTTCACAGGTCTGTGGATTATGCACTATCATTGAGTCATATGAATCTCTTCTCTCAAGTTTTCTCTCCTTTACTCATCTGGTTGTATTATCTCTGTGCTTACAGGTGATAAACCAGCAATTCTGTTCGTGATGCATCACACCTTCAACCCTGACCAAGTTCTAGCTGAAAGCAGAAGACTGGTGGACAACCCCAATGTTGAGCTTACTGTGGACTGTCTGTTCTATGAGGGCAAACTCCTGAAGTCCAACAGAAATGATACTGCATGGCGTGATGTCCAAAAAGTATCTTGGAGTTTCCAAGGTAATGACTAGATTTACCGATCTAATACTATCACACAATCCCTGGGGAGTGCACTGGTATTGTGATATTAAGGGTTAAGGGATCATTACTGTAGTCCACCACTGAAATTATGTACATGATGCAGTTTCTTAAATTATTTTATGTTCTTACTTTCTTTCTTTCTTTCTTTTTTAGGTCTCCACCTTTCGAACCATGTTCAATAGTAAGTGTGACAGCAATCATGAATTCCACATTTCAGATCAGATTTTTTCTAGTCTATCTTCTTCACTTTCCTTTGAATTAAGGGATATTGATGTTGGCATTATTAATCTAATCATACCAATAATTTCTGGTTGCTGTAATCGCTCCTCCTGTCAATACTAGATTTTAATGTAAGTGATGGGGAACAAAATAATTTAATCAGAATATAAAGCTAGGGTAATGACCAAAGTAACTTCACAACCTCAGTAATTGTGCTTTTGAGACATTCAGCAACAGCCTGTCTGCAACAGAGTTAGTGCTTCATGATTGATTCTCTGGCTTTTGTGGACACGCAGTAGCTTTAAACCAGGAAATAACAAAGTCTCTGCTTTGAAGATTTGTTCATTTATACACACAAAAACAAGACAAAAACGTATGCATCCAATACAATGCATGGTTTAACGTCCAGAAGTCTTGATGATTGATGTAATACAATCATACAATCTATGTGTAGTGCACTGACATTGTGATATTAATGGATAAGGAATCATTACTGTAGTCCACCTCTGAAATTACCATTATTACGCATTATTGTTACTCATATTCTCTTATTTCTGTCTTTCTTTCAGGTGTCTCTTTTTCAAGTCTTTCCAGATTCTTTAAGCAATAGTAACTGTGACTGCAATCAATGAACTTCCGATTTCAGATCAAATGTTCTTTCCTTTGAATTAAGGGATATTGATGTTGGAATTATTCATCTAATATGTGAACATCTATCTATCTATAAACCAATAAATAATTAACATTTGAGAGTGCAAAGGATGCTGAAATAAATAATTACATGCAGGTTTCTTTATGTACATTAGGTAGGTGGATATTACAGTATATATACTGTGTGCACATTGTGGGTAGATGTGTTTGAATGATTCTATTTCTGTTTTAAAAAAGTGAATTTCAACAATGTATTTGCTCCTCCTGTCAATACTGGGTTTTAAGTGATGACAACAAACTCATATAATGAGAGTGTACAGCCAGGGTAACGACCAGAGTTATTTCTCAACTCCAGTAATTGTGCTTTAGAGATACACGCTTTGTGGTATGTACTGTTTAAAGGTGTTGTCATGTTTTAAATGAAGAGAAAACATCACTGTAAAATAATGATTGCTGCTGCTTTGTGCTCATTCAGACATCAGGACTGTATGTGTTTCCTTCATGAAGAATAAACACAAATTTAACAAGTGATGACATCGTATTTGTGTGTTGTGTCTTTGTAAATTAGTCGCCTCGCTGTAGGACTGTCCTCGACTAAAGATTTTTCTTGTCGACTCATGGTTGTTGGTTAAAGCCAATTGTGTTGTTTATGAAACTGTTTAATAATTTAAACATATATATATTATCAGTCGCCTGTTAAACAGCCAGCACGGAGACTGAACATTCAGTTCATTTATTTCACAGAATAATAACATTACATTAGTCTCATTGTCTGCTCACCCGACTCTGGCTATGGTGCTCATTCCAGCCCTTGTGTTAAAAAACCGCCCCTGGTACTTAGAGCTTGCTGTCCGTACAGTCAGCTATACTAACTAGCTAGTGGCAGCAGCTCATTAGCACTTAGCACATGCAGCAGTGCTGTGTTACAACAGAAAAGGTCCGTGTTGCAACAATCCCCTGACACTTTCATCCTGACTACATGGCACAGCTCCTGCTTGACGCTGTAGTTCTGTTTGTTTTCCTGCAAATATCTGACTCATGAAATCTTGTCGACTAAGACTCTTCTCTTCGACTAACAGTTACTCGACTATTAGGGGACAGCCCTACATAGCTGATAAACAAATCTGATGGATTCCTATTAAAACTGAGGTAAAGGTCATAATCACCCCTACAGTGAAGAACAATGGTGGCACAATGATGGTATCTAAATGCAACCAACGACAAAGAATGGGAATCAAGTCAGGATTGAAAGCCCGGTAAATTGAATTAAATCAAGAAGTAATCTTTAAAAATACTGCTGCAGAATGACTTAGACGAATATGCAGCTTTGAGCAAGACAACAATGAAGCACGCAGCCAAGAAAATGTGGAAACATTTTATAATTAAAATAAGGCGTATAAGCCTTTAGATAAAGTACAGGTCAAACAGTAATCAGAGTGCTATTTACTTCCGCACATTTACGTATATCCTGTAAAAACAGGCAACTTGGGAAGGCTGTCGTGGTAGCCGGCACTGTGTGTTATGTCCCCCCGGTCAAGCAGCTGTAACGGTCCTGTCTGACTGTGCCAGGACTGGAAGCTCTCAGTAAGAAACACATCCAGACTGGGACTGAATACAGCATTCGATGCTGACAGTTTCACAACAGGGAATAAAGTGCAGAGGTATTATTATTAGTGCTTAGACTCCCTCCATCCTACATGTGAGGGGACTCTAACATAGTAAACTGCTTCTGTAATATAAAAACAACCTATAGTAATCCCAGTGCCTGTGTATACCATCAGCTCTGTGTTGTAGCCTATATGTGGTCTGCAGTTACTCTCTCCTCCTACTGTGGTCTTTTCTCATCTGTTCCTAAACACTGACACAGTTAATGTCTCATCTCTGCACGTCCTCTAGTGGTCAACTCGAGAACAGCTTTCTTGTCAAAACAAAAGTGAAAGTGTTTCACCCGCAGGGAGGAACAACAGTTATTTTGTGGTTTAGTGTGGAATGGACATGCCAGAGACACCACAAAGAAATTATCAATCTATTACGTAAGTAGGCATGCAAAAAATGTTTTGAGTAATCTCTGTGAGGCTGCGAACTGCTGACTATCTATGTACATCTGAGTATTATAGGTTATACACATCTTCTGTATTTGTTGTTGTTGATTTGTGGGCTGGGCACAGCAGCTGTGACACAGCAATTTGTGACGCTTATACCCCTGCTCCTCATTTAGCTTTATTTCATTTTGTAAAATGATTTTGACTAAAGGTTGCTATCTCTTCCTCAGAGACATGGCCCAGGAAGCTGGAACTGGTGAGAAAGCAAATTTTATAGACATAGATGAGTGTGTGTTTAAAATAAATTTTAGTAAAATTCAAGGCTTTTGGGAGGACAGGTAAGTGTTCCACCAGTCATATACTGGTAATATTGTATTATTATTTTCTTTCAGTAGTCAATATTGTATATTGACTTCTGAAAGAAAATACAGTAAATCTTCCGACCAGCAGGGGGTGATAATAAATGTGTAATAAAGTGAGAGGTGCCTGAGGAGGGAGGTCTGAGGTGCTGCAGTAGAAAAACCTTTGGATATATTTCTCAGCATTCAGCAACAGCCTGTCTGCAACAGAGTTAATGTTTCATTATTGGTTATCTGGTTTTCGTGCACATGCAGTAGCTTTTAGTCTCAGTCTCAGTATGCTTTAAGATTAGTTTATTTATATTTTGGACTCCTCACTGACACAAGAACATAACAAAAACGTATACAAGTAATCATTTTTTAAGATGATCATATGGAAATTCAAAAAATACTGATTTTGAGTTCAATGTATTTATGAAAGTAGTACAGTTCAGGGATTTATAAAACACTTTCTCCAATTTGAGCTGAATCTAGCCCAATATATCTTTAGTACACTAAACTATGTTACAGTGCAGTAATGACTAAAATATTCTCTGTCTTTAGTCTACTGGAAAAGGTTCTTTGTCATCTTGGCCGGAAGAACTAACGATGCTCATCTTGAGTTTGTGGCGAAGCTTGAAAGCATTGGCCATACTGAGGTGAACTCTCCAGAAGAAAGTGACTACTTTCTGGTTTTCTGTCCTGTCGCTTCAAGAGTTGGAACAGACGTCAGTGAGGCCCTGGAGAAACTTCCAGGTAGGAAATGGCTTCACTTTACACTGATAAGGAATACAGGGAAATTTGATCAATCAGGTTTTGTGCAGGTTCTAATTGAACTTGCCCTACAACAATATAGAATGAGTGCATCAGCTCAGCCATTAAAAAACAAACTGATATCTCCTCCTAAGTTTCACCTTATTTCAATCATCTGGTTGTATTATCTCTGTACTTACAGGTGGTAAACCAGAAATTCTGGTTGTGATGCATCACACCTTCAACCCTGACCAAGTTGTAGCTGAAAGCAAAAGACTGGTGGACAACCCCAATGTTCAGCTTACTGTGGACTGTCTGTTCTATGAGGGAAAACTCCTGAAGTCCAACCGAAATGATATTGCATGGTTTGATGTCAAGAAGTATCTCGGAGTTTCCAAGGTAATGACTAGATTTACTATTCTAGGTTTAATACGATCACACAATCAAGTGCATCATTACTCCGGTCTAACTCTGAAATGATGTACATGATGCAGTTTCATTCATTAATTATATTCTTTCTTTCTTTCTTTCTTTCTTTCTTTCTTTCTTTCTTTCTTTAGGTCTCTACCTTGCGAGCCAGTTTCAATAGTAAGTGTGACTTCAATCATGAACATCAGATTTCAGATCCGATTTTTTCAAGTCTATCTACTTCAACTTTCTTTGAATTAAGGGATATTGATGTTTGTATTATTAATCTATTATGTCATCAAAATCATTCAGTTGTTTCGAGTTGTAAATGATACCGGGTGACTAATTTATCTGTTCTTCCCTTTAGGGATGAGTTCCCGTCAGTGGCTGGTTGTCTTTTTAGTTATTTTATTCCTATTGGTGCTGTTGGTGGCAGTGATCCTCAGCGCAGTCTTCAATGTTGGAATGAACACTACAAACTACAACAAGACAGCGAATGGTTTGGAAGGGATCATCTGCAACAACTATAGTTGTGGAGGCTGATGTAGATGTTTTTGTGCTGAAGCTTTCGATCACTACTTTATACGAAGCAAAATACAGGGGAAAATGAAGGTAGAGGTTTGTGAAGCTGGAAGCCAGTTAGTAGCAGAGAGCAGTAATGGCATGCTAAATGTAGTTGTCATTGCTCTTCCTGTTATTACTGGGTTTTAAATGTAACAAAATAATTTAATAGATAGAATGTAAAGCCAGGCTAGAAACTAAAGTTACAACCTCAGTATTAATGCTTTTGAGATAGAAGCTTTGTGGTATGCACTGTTTAAATGGGAAGTATAGTCATGTGTGGTAAAATATTATCAAGTGTTAAATGAAGTAAAAACATCGCTATGAAATAATGATTGCTGCTGCTTTGTGCTCATTCAGACATTAAGATTGTATGTGTTTCCTTCATGAAGAATAAACTCCAATGAATCTAGTGACTATGTATTTGTGTGTTGTGTCATTTAGTTAATTTATTTCACCAGAATAATGAGGAATGATAAGTAAGGAGCTGGCGAGGGGTCACTGCACCAGTCCTTGTGGTCGGTTGGTGTGCCTGTGTGGAGAGTTGGGATCTGTGGTTTACTCCACAGCAAACCAGTTTCAAGTTTAGTCTCCCTCCATCCTACATGTAAGGGGACTCTAACATAATAGGTCATTTGTGTAGTCTAAAACCAACACATAGTATCTGTCAGCGCCTGTGTATACCACCAGCAGTGTTGTATAAATGTGCTCTGCAGTTGCTCCTTCCTCCTGCTGTATTCACGTCTTATCGGTTGTTTCACACTGACACACACATTTCTCTTCTACGCACTTCCCCTTTAGTGGTTGACTTGAGAGCACGTTGACTGTCAAAACAAAAGTACACAAGGACAGAGGAGCTCAAATACTTCCCTGTCCAGTGTGGGACGGATATGCCAGAGACATCACAAAGAAATGATCAATCTTGTTTGTAAGTAGGCATGCAAAATATATTTTACATAATCCCCATGAGGCTGTGAACTGCTGACTCTCTACCATGCATCTGAGTATTATATTATATTTCTAACTAGGTTTTGTGGGCTGTGCACAAGCTGGTGCAGAACAACTTTGACAAAACAATATGTGACACGTACACTTATTTGTTTAGCTTAATTTCATTTTTTAAAATGATGTCGACTAACTGTTCCTGTCTGTTTATCTTTTTTATCAGAAACATGAACCAGGAAGTGGCAGCTGGTGAGAAAAATAATTTACTATCTTTGTTAATTGACAACATGTTGCTCTGTCAAGACTGCAATATCTCAATTTTAAAGAGAATAAACTACATTTAGTCAGTACAATAGATAACATTTCAAGCTGTTTTTACCAATATTTTTATAATAGGATCAACCGACAACAAGTACAGTACTAGTGGTCGCAATGATGAACCTCCAGAGAATCATCAACTGACACAGTTAGTGACTAGCTGGAGAATATATCAGAGCATTTAGAAGCTAAAGTAGTTAAGTAGTTTTCTCAGCATGCACCTGCAGTTAGTGCTTCCTGATTTCTGTGGCCCGGTTTGTACACGCAGCAGCTTTTAAACAGGAAGTAACACACTGTATGTCTATGGTTTGAAGATGTGTTCATTTATGTATTACATCTTACACTGACACAAAAACAAAAGAAAAGAGTTTTTATTTTTTTGCTATAATCATATGAAAATCCAACACATTTTTAAAGCTTAAAAGAGATCAGGGATGTGTAAAATACCTTTTCTAAGATATTTTTTTGAGCACTATTTGTCTTCATCTACACAAAACCAAGCTACAACGCAATAATGAGTCAAACGTTCTTCTTTGTCTTTAGTGTTGTGGAAAAGGTTCTATGTCCACTTGGCGGGAGAAACTGATGGGGCTCATGAAGTCATTGTTAGAAATCTTAAAAGCATTGGCCATACAGTGGTGAACTTTCAAGAAGAAAGTGACTACCTTCTGGTTTTCTGTCCTGTCGTGTCACGAGTTCAAACAGACATCACCGAGGCCCTGGAGCATATTCCAGGTAAGAAATGCTTTCGGCCATTGTTCAGTTTCACACTGATTAGCCAAAGGAAAACAGGGAAATATATATATATATATATATATATATATATATATATATATATATATATATATATATATGTATATACAGATGTAATATAAAACAAACTGAACTCTCTTAACTTTAACCTTCTTTCTCACTCATTTGATTCTGTTATCTTCCAGGTGGTAAACCAATAATTCTTGTGGTGATGCATCATACCTTTGATCCTGACCACGTTGTACCTCAAAGCAGAAGAGATTTGGACAACCCGAGGGTTAAGCTTACTGTGAACTGTCTCTTCCATAAGGGCAAAATCCTGAAGTGTACCCGCAATGAGATTATATGGTCTGATATCCAGAAGCTACTTGGAGTTTCCAAGGTAATGACTAGATTTACGTATTTAATACAATCACACAATCCACATGCAGTGCACTGATATTGTGATATTAAGGGATAAGCAGAGTTGGTGAAAGTACCCACATTTTCTGAAATGTACTCAAAGTATAACAGTGAAAACTCTCTGAACTACTCTCTTGAAGAACATTTCTAACTGTACAAAGCTAACTGAAGCTTTAAATAGGGTCGAGTCTCCCTGTCTGGTTGGTTATGACCTTTTAAGTCTGTCATGAGTGATATGCATTGGTCTTGATGTTGGGAAAGTGTGCTCTGATGGTGCCCATATATACATAAACATATAAATATATATACAGATATATACAGGAAGTAGATGTCTACGATGGGCAAAACTCTAGACTATAATCATTACAGTATTTATTAACTACCCCAGGTTGTAGTTTTTCACATTGGACTCCATATATGTGTGTGTGAACAGTATATAGACACATATATGCTGTATATATGTATGTTTGCTCTGAGTGTGTGTGTGTGTAGCTGAGCCGAGCCTGTTTTTAAAATGTAAGGAATAGAAAGTACAGATATTTGTGTAGAATTGTAGGGAGTAAAAGTAAAACGTAAAACGAAACCTGAACTTACTGAAAGTAAGTAAAGTACTTTACTGAAGCATTTGTAGCTTTCTTCGTTACTTCCCACCTCTGGGGATAACGGATCTGAAATGATGTTTATGATTCAGTAATTATTACTCATACTCTTTTCTTCCTTTCTTTTAGATCTCTCCCTTGAAAACCTCTTGGGCTGGTAAGTGTGACTGCAAAACTCACACTTTTCAGATTTTCAGATTTTTTCAAGTATATCTTTAAACGTCACTCACATAGTCATAAAAGAGTTATTAGTCTGTCACACTGGCTGTGTAGTGATACCTTCCTGGTGGGACTCCAATGTAACTGAAAATCCACCTCGATCTGTGTAAAACAGTCACTCATAAGTTCACCTGCAGCTAAAATGAAGTTTCAACTGTTTGATGAAGTCAAATCAAGAGGGTATAGTGCAGTGCAATATTTATGACTTTTACATTTATGGGAAATGTTGTCTTAATTCATATTTTTGACTAATATTTGACACCTAATGATACAAAGATGTAGGACAAGCATCAAATGCTGGCAGGTTTAAAGTGAGTAGGATATACATTTATTATGTAATCCACTTATTTGGTGGTGAGGTGAAAAAGAAAATGACTATCCAGAGAGTATATAATTTTTTCCAGGTTGAGATTTGACCAACCGTATACTGTAGTGAAGTGAGGGTTTGGTTAGTTAGTGGATATTTAATTAGTTAGTGTGCTCACATTTGCTTTACCTTGTACTCCACAACTATATGACTCTAGCTATTATTGGAGATTGGTTTGATTGAGTGGTGTCTACCAGGTAAAAATAATACTGATTGCCAAAACATAATATACTTTCATTTCCTTTAAGGAATATTGACATTGGTATTAGGGTATTAATCTCATACGTGAACATACAATTGTAGGGTTGTTTGCATTGTTTGTGATGCCAGATGACTAATTTCTCTGTTTTTCTTTCTTTTAGACTTCACTGATTGTTCATGGCTGGTTGCTTTGGCAGTTTTGATTGTATTAGGATTGCTTATCATTGTGT